TTGAATTACCGGTGAGGGCCTGAATCTTAAACTATATGGCCAAATATGTATCAGTTCAGCAAAATTAATGGTCCTTAGGACCTGCACCTCTTTAGAGCAGGATGAGTCCACGATTAGACTCATCCACTAAGATTAGTGGGGAATGGAGCAGGCCCCCAGACCTTAGCACAACTGACTCCATAGTTTAAGCACCGTTCAGGCTGTAAAACTCAGCACATAGACAGCACCACCTGCCAGAACTAAAACAAAGGCCCAATCCACCAAAATCCATAGTTTTGGGGAAGTCTCTAAATGTACTAACCTTGCTTCTGGCTAAAATTGTTCTTGTAACTGAAGTATGTCAACTGAGGACATGATTTTTGTGCTTAAAAGCTCACCCTAAGAAAGGCTTCGGGCTACACTGTGATCCCAAGAACCCAGTTTTGTTGCTGGCTGGCTAATACTTTCTATTGACTTAAACCCATGTCCGAGCAGTGGACATCCCACAACAATGTTTCTTCTACTGTTCACATCATCCCTATTAAACAGATAACAAGAGGGCATTGGGTCCCTAGAGTTGCAGGTAGTTATGAGCTGCCTGACGTGAGTGCTGGGAACTGAATTCTGGTTCCCTGGAAGAGCAATGAGCTCTCTTAAACTCTGAGCCATCTCTCCAGCCCCAACCTGGGCTAACAACGCAGGGAGCACCCAACCTAAAGCAAGACCTCTGGCTCAGACCAAAACCACACTCCCAATCTCCCCTCAAGTGTGGGGCCCTGTCCATGTCCCTCTGCAGGCTACTAAACTCCCCATGGTTGCAAATGCCACTTCATCACACACACACACACACACACACACACACACACACACACACACACACACTCCCCACTGGTTTCTGATTTCTGCCATCCTCAGCACCATCCACTGACTTCCATGACGCCTGTGAAAATTGGATAAAGATGCCTCTCTGTCTAAGCGGCACAAGCCCACACCAAGCTGCAGGGTACAAGGCTGGTCCATGCAGGAACCAGAGACTTCTGCACCCTGTCCTGGTTCCAACATTCCAACATCTTCCAACTTGCTCAGGACAGATGCTGTGATTCATATTCACTCTCTCTCTCTCTCTCTCTCTCTCTCTCTCTCTCTCTCTCTCTCTCTCTCTCTCTCTGTGTGTGTGTGTGTGTCTGTCTGTCTGTCTATTTGTCTGTCTGTGTGATTCTTTCTCCTGCTCCAAGCTAACAAAGGGTGCCCCCCTTCAGAAATGGCAGGAGATGCAGTAAACATAGGCATAACTGAGAGATTCCTACAACTCAGCCAGGCAAGGTTTGAGTCTGAGCACTTAAGGAGATCCCTACCGGATGTTCAAAAGCTCTGCTGAAGCCAGTCAGGGGGACTCACACCTGTAATACTAGCACTCAGGAGACTGAGGAGGACCACATCAAGTTCAAGCCTGTACTTCAGAACAAGATCACAAAACTTTTAAATTAAAACAACAACTCTGATCAGCCTTTCCCACAGCATGTACAGCCACCAGATGGCAGCAGAGCTGGCCACTTCAAAACTGACTATCAGATGACCAAGGATGTTAAGGCAAGCCAGTCACTGACCTTCAACCCTGTGGAGGGAGGGATACGCATGCCCGTATGTATCCACATCCATGTGAGTGGAAAGATACAGACAGACAGACAGACAGACAGGTGAACAGACTGCTAGAGTTTAGTTCCCTTCCTTTGTATGTTTTCACCTTCCCCCAGCTGCCCTTGCTTGACCCTATCCATCCTTGCAACAGTGATGTAGGGAGCGTAGCTCCCTTCCTGCTCTGGTGGGCTTCTAGAGCTGGAGCTAGAACTGGACACAGACAAGTGACCCCACGGCACAGTGGAGCAGGTAGGATGTGTGCAGAGACCAAGGAAGCACAGGGCTGGGGCTGCCTGGAGGCTGGGTGTGGGAGGTGCATGGAAGGGAGAGGCACCTTCTCAGGCGGCTTACTTTCTGGCAAGTCTTGAGAGCAATGTCAACACACAGGCTGCCCTTGTTTCCTCCCAGTAGGCCTACAGGGAAGCTATTACAGCACCAGTTTCACTGGGCAGGGACGTGTAGAGATTCCACAGACCGCAGTTTAGAGCTGGGATTTGGCTCCCGTGTCCTCTGACGGCAGCTTAGGCAAGCTATGGAGCCGAGACTTCCAGCCTGGTTTGTCAGGAAGCAGGTGCCTTCTGCCTAGGCACCAAGGAAAGTTCTGATGTCTCCAGTCCTTTGACTTGCTTCTGAGTGTGGTCTAGGAGGACCAGGAAGCATGTGACTTGGCCCCACACTCCTCCTTCCCCTGGCCTGCGGGAGGAGGCTCTGCCCAAGAGTTGCCAGACTTAATCGTCGTTGAAGCATGAGCTATCTCTTGCAGATTACCCATTTCACATTAGTGGGTGTGAGGGAGGTAACCTGAAACTCCGTCCCACGCCAGGGACCACTCTGTAGGTAGACAGCCTTTATCAAAACCAGCCACAGAAGGCAAGTTCCCCTTCAAGACTAACTGGTCGGCATTGCTTCACACTCTCCACCTGCGCACAGTCTGAGTGGACGTTTCCCTTCCTGCCTGACTTTGGTGGGACCTGTGTCACCCTGTGAGAGTCATACCTTTGGGGTGGAATAGGGGAAAGAAGGATACAAGTCCTATTCCAGGAATCAGAATGAATTAGACTGCCCCAAACAGCGGAAGAGCTCGATGGGCAGAGTTGGTGGTAGCGACCAGCCAGCTGGAGATGAGGCGACCCATGGAAGCGAGAGGTTCCGGCGCCGGTGCATAAGCCAAGCAGAGACCTTAGGGAAGCTTGGAAGTAAGGAGTACTGGGGAGAACCGGCTGGAAGCTGAAGGGACGCGAGAGGGACCTAGAGCTCGAGCGGAGGCGGAGCAGGGGGAGACTGGACCGGGTACAAAAAATATAACAAAAACGTCCTAAGAGGCTTAGAAAGGGACAAAGAGAAACCTGGACGGCGGCGGAGAGGTCTTACGTGGAAAGCGAAGGATGGGGAGTGGGCAGGGGAGTGAGTCGGTGCGGCCCCGCCCCTTCTCTCTCGGGAGCTCCGCGTCTCCTCCCCCGCAAGGGTGGGACTCTCGCCTCCAGCTCCGCCCCAGGCCCGCAGAGACCGCCCCCAGGGACCCGTGCTGCGGCCCAGAAGATGGTGGGAGGCCCAGCTGGTGTGTTATCAGCCTCCTCCAGGAGCCGGCCCGAGGCACCGAGCGGCTGACAGTCTGAGATTAGGCCCCGGGAGGGTCATTAAGCAGCGGCCTGGCCCTGGCCCAGCCTCTTTCCCTCCTGATCCGACCAGGCCGGCAGGTGGGAACTGGCGATAAGGACGGGGGTCTTGGCGGTTCTGGGGTGGGCGCTCCCTTACTCCCAGCCCCCTGGTCAGGACCGGAACATGGAGTGGGGGAGGAGGGCTGTAGGTCAGTGTCAGCCTAGGTCCTCCAGGGGCAATCACCAAGGCTCTAAGGTCAAGGCAGGGTACCCCGCAGTTCGGAGGTGGGGGAGCTGGCGGCAGGGCTTGCTTTGGTGGAAGCAGGTCTCTCCTGGCAACACCTCACAAGTGGCTCTGCCCTGGCCCTGGCAGACTGGGGGCATAAAGGGGGCTGAATTGAACCCACTTACACCACACACACACACAACTTGGGGGCAGACGTGGGAAGGAATGTAGTCACCTGCAAGGGGATCCGATCTGCAGCCAAAAGATCCCAGGGATATTTGAAGGGATATTTGTGCCTTAATGGAGACCTAGCCTCTACCATCCTCTGTCTCTCCTTCAGTGAGAAAAAGCTGGGCCGCCTGGCCCCCTGGTTTTGCTTTCTGCTTTGATCAAGAAAAGGGAGAAGACTAGGCACACTTTAAAGTGGCAGCAATGTGTGAGACCCGTGTGAGTTACAGAAAACCACAGAGGGCAAATGCCTAGAGGCATCATCACAGGGGCAACTATCAATGTCCCTAAAGCTGAAGACCAGAGAGGGAAGGAGACTTACCCTAGATCACACAGCAAGGCAGGGAGACCTAGAGCAGAAACACTACTTCCCTTCTCTGCTCCGACCTCTACCTCTGTTGCAGGCTGGCCCCCAAACCCCAGGGAGATGATTTGTGGGTACTGCTTGAGGCGTTCAGGCAAGCCTTAGACCACAAAGTAGAGTGTGCAGCAGGGACGCTCTGAAAAGGAGAGACTGGTGACAGAAAACATCTGGCCGGCCTCGCCACACAATCCACTGGCTCTGGAAGTGAGTCTGTTTGGGGTTATTGCCACAGACAGGGGGACAGATGCTGTTCAGTGAGACACACGGACACAGAGGAGCTGGGTCAGGCAGGCATTTGCCTCAGAGATCTTGGTCTCTTCTCTTCTAGACTGGCTTCCCCTGGCTCCCATCCCACCCAGGGCTGAGAGCCCAGACACTGGTGAGGACTTGGTTCTACTCTAGCTCTGCCAGAGGCTAGCCAAATCCTCCACACAGGATCAGGGAGCTTGGAGTGACAGTCCCTCTCCCAAGGTCGCACAGTAGGGTGACCGGAGACTGGGGACACAGATTTGGGTTCCTCTGTCTCTGCCCCACAGTTTTCTTTTCCATATGCTAGCCCAACACTCTGGAGCCCTGGGAAGGGGAGAGAGCTGGGCAGAGGGGGTGGTGTGCAGTATAGGAAAAATCCAGAAGATCTGGGAAGGGTGAGCTGTTGGGGAGGGGCGTTCTTGCAGAAGGGCTCTGCCTTGAACAAGGGCAGAGTGGGAAAGCTCAGCTCAGAGGTCTCTTCCTGCCATCCATACATGAAAGACATTTTGAAATGGACCAGGGTTGAGGATGTCCAGGATACCCAACTCTCAGCAGGGTCTTCCTCCTGAGAAGATCTCCTGCCTGCTCTAGGCAAAGAAGGGGTTTAGTCTGAAGAGACAAGGGCCACCCACAGGCAGGGATGAGTTCAACTCTCCCACACATATCCACACTCATAGGGAGTTCCCCACACATACCCAGGCTCCAGAGGAGTCTCTCTCTCTCTCTCTCTCTCTCTCTCTCTCTCTCTCTCTCTCTCTCTCTCTCTCTCTCTCTCTTTCCCTCCTAGACACAGCCTCAGCCTCTCCAATTAGGCCTCTAAGTCCCTGGCTGCCCTATGGGTCCAGGGCTTCCTGTAATCCGTAAGTCCAATGGCAATGGACCCTAGAAGGCAGTTATAAAAAGAAATGGGGGAGGCCTTGCTTGGAGCCTGGAAACTGGGTCTGAGCCTTTGCCCCGAAAGTATAAAAAGTGTTTATTTCCCAGAAATAAGAGTCACTTCCATGGTTGCAGGAGGAGGGAGTTGAAAGGGGAGGGGCTGAGCTGGGTGTTTCTTTATAAGGCTCCTCAGAAGTGGGTGGAAGACCCCAGGAAGACCCCGGGGCCACTTCACATCCTGAGCTCAGCTTGGTCTGAGCCTTAGGCTGAGATGGCTGTGATTCAGAAGAACTGAGAGGGGCAGCTTCTGTTAATCGATTCCTGAAGAACAGTGACTGGGTGAAGTGGTGGGCATCAACTCTATGTGCCCTATAGCCTGGGGACTGGGGCCATCGATGAGCTTGTCACATGGGTGTGCTGCGGACCCTGCCCTCTTCCTCCAGAACATTCTCGAAGGCATTCTTGTGCTCACTGGACCTGGAAAGGGAGGTAGGGCTTACTGGGTCGTTGGCTTCCCTTCCCCCATTTCTTTCCCTCTTCATCATCCTGCATCAGGACTTCTCTCCAGAATTAGCATCTGGCTCCCAGAGAGGAGCAGGGGGAGGAGAGCCCTTCCCCTAAACATATCTGGACCTGTGGGCCTGGACTGGAGGCCCCTCAGAAATATCCCCACCCAAATCCCATGTTCCTCCTTTACTAGGTTTCCCCAGGGAGCCTCCCAAGAACTCCCTTCCCACAGAGTCCCCCCACTCACTCCCTCTTTCACTGACTTCCTTCCCCCACTGAGTCCCTTCTCCCCTTGATGCCCATTATCCTACAAAGACCCTGCCCTGTCTGAGCCTTCTCCCTAAATGGAACCTTTGTCTTCCCATGGGACACAAACCCTCTTCACCTCACCTGCTCTTCCTCTTTGCTTGTAACACCTTTCCCAGCTCCCCTGGTAGCATCTCACCTAAAACCAGACGCCATCGAGGAGTATCTGCCGTCCATTCCCACCAGGACCCCATCTGCCTTGTTTCCAACGATCATGACCATGCTCCCAGGTTCCCTGGAAATGAAGCTTATCAGTAGCTCATCAATGACTGTCCACTCCACCCCATCCAATTCTCAAGGTCCAAGACAGAGAGCACCCCAGCTTTCCTTTGGGCCCTGCAGACACCAGCTTCCAGTCTCCTCCTCCTCAGGCCTCACATCCTCCTGCCTGATCCACGAGGAAAGTGGGGAACACAGGTAGTTGTAAGACACTTATTCTAAGTCCCAGGTCTCTTTCCATTGCCTTCAGATCATGGACCCAACAGGACTCAGAGTACATCCCAAATTAGGAGATGTGGTTAGTGGTCACAGAAGGCTCTCGCCTTCAACTTCTCAGACTGCTTTTGTGAGGGTCCCTTAAACCTGCTCAGCTGTCTTTGGACATCCCACAGGCAAGTCACACCAGACATGTCCCACCAGGTCAACTCAGGTTGTTTTCAGTGTCCTCTGCTCAGGGAGGCTTTTAGAGTCCTCTCTGCACTTCCTCCTCTAGTGCCCCGTACTGCCTCCAACTGTCAACTCCCAGGTTCCCTCCCAAACAGCTCTTAGATCCATTCATCCTTTTCTGAACTGCCTCTGTCCCTTCCAGGTCCAGACTATCCAGCCTCATACTCAGCCTCTCATGTGTCTTTAAACCTGCAGACTTCACGCACTATGCACCCCTATGAAAAAGTCACAAGGACTCTGTTAAGGTCATCTCATCCACTGATTCCAGCTGCGTTGACATAAAACTCCCAGTCCAGGTCATTGGTGCTGCCAGGTCTTACTGACCTCATCAGCCTCATACTGGAACTCCCTTCTCCGCCCCTTACATACTCTGCAGGCTGTGGAGGGCTGCTGCTGGGTCCCTGGCTGCCAGGCCACCTTGGTGAGACCTGGGGGAAGATCCCCTAAGGCAAATGTAGCTTCACCCAGGGGGCTCTTCATCTCCATACATTCATGCCTGGTACCAGTGCCAGGCTCCAAACTTGGGACTCAAGTGTACTTTTCTCGCACCATCCTGTCCTTTGACTCCTTGTGTGTCAGGTTTTGGAGTGAATGTGCAGTCGGTGAAGCGTGCTAACCAACCCCCTCCCAACCCCCAAGCCAGCTCAGGCTATGTCCTGCACTCTGAACTTTCTTTCCTTCAACTGTATTCGACTTAAGTTGTTTATCTAGTCTGTGTGCCTGTGAGGCCCTTTGCATCACATGCAAGCTGACCTTCCAAAAGGCTGAGGTCTTCTATTTCAGGAGGAAGGCCAGGCTCCCACCTCAACTCCGTAGGTGGAAACAAAAACTGAGACACCAAGAAGAGAGACATTTCTCCCAAGTTCATGGTGGGGGAGGTTGCGGGGGGGATGGTTGGGAATGAGAGAGCCATGAGGCCCGCAGACTGTAGGCCTGGGAGCCAGAAAGGCTCAGAGCCTGGTTCTGTCCCTAACTCTTCCTGGGAACTTGAGGACCAATTTCCTTTCCTCACAGTGGTAAGACTTGAGCCAGAGCTCCTGAGGTCATCCCCTACTAGAGTAAAAACAACGGTTCTAGGGCCACCCTGACCACCAGGGACTGCCCAACCCCAAGTCTTCACACAGCACTCACGGCTCTTCCTGGCACCAGAAGTGGTTGACAGCAAAGACGATCGCAACAAGGACCAGGAACACGGCCACCGCAATAAGGCCCTGCATCCAGGGCTGAAGGTTCCCCAGACCTGCAAAAGGAAGAGGAGCTGCAGGCACACAGCAGTCTGAGTACGTGTCAAAGGCCAACAGCCTCGACAGGGCCCTGGGAGGCATCTGAATGGCCAGAGTGGACCTAAGCAGTAAGGCCTGTCTACTCTCCTAAGTATGAGGGAAGGATGGGGGCTTAGAGCCTACTAGAGTCTGAAGAAAACCTGAGCAGCCAAATAGGGGACGCCTCAGGGTTTGCTCTGAGGTCCAGGCTCCCAGAGCCTCCCTCCTGCACACACACACACACACACACACACACACACACACACACACACACACATACACACACACACACACACACACACATACACACACACACACACACCCTCTACAGTCATGCGCAGGGCCCCCCTCGAAGTGCAAGAAAACAGGGACCAAAGCGTGGCCCCAGTGGCTGACCTAGGCCCTGTCAGCTGGAAGTGGCCCCTCCTCCTCCCCCCCCCCCCCCCCCCCCCCGCTGGCCCAGAGCTGCCAGGTTAAGGCTGGCATCTAGCAGATCCAGTTCTTGATCGGAAAGCTTCTCTGGGAAAAGTAGGAAGGGTGAGGTCTGCCCGGGGCTGCTCAGGGCCGGCTGCTCAGCTGGGGTGCAGGGAAGGAAGAGGGGTAAGATGGCAGGGGAGGGTGGGTTCCAGATTGGAGTCCCTTTATCCTCTCCAGCAGGATGGCCAGGACACAAAGGTCAGACACTAGGTTAAGGACTAGCCTTGTACCTCTTCTACTTTTTCACCCTTGACATCAGCCTCAACCCCTAAAACTTCTCAGAAGCCTCTGCCCTCAGGCCACTAGCAGCCCCAAGAAAAACCATTCTCCCCATTAGGCTGAGGCCCTCACTCTCCAAAGACAAGATACCCAGCAGCTAAGAGCCTCGGGAGGAAAGAGAGGAGAACAGGCAGGGGTCCTGCCTTTATGACTAGAGTCATCCTACATTATGAGAAGCTAGAAATCAAAAGATCTGTTTGCCTCATTCCCACTCAGTCCACCTCGATGCTCTTCTGCCTTTTCTTAGCACTGTCTCTGAGGCCGAAAAGGGAGGATCCTGGAACTCTCTGGGTTGTAGCCATGGCAGCCCTAGGTTAGCAACCCTGGATAGCAGAAGATACACAGTATCGTTGCTCAGCCAGGGCCATTGTTTTGGGTACATCCCTCCCTACCCTGGCCAAGAAACACTGCTCAGGCCCATCACTTTTTCTGGCCAATAATGATCAGGCATTGGGAACAACCCTAGAGGGCATCTCTCCCATTTCTTTCTCCTGTGGCTCTTACAGCTAACTCCTCACAAGACACCAGGGACCACCTCTGTTCCTGATCTTGTGACTCTAGGGAGCAAGTGGCAGAGTCAAAGGCAGAAAAAAAAAAATGGTCTGAGACCTGTTTCTTCTTGACCCATGTAAGTTACTGAACCTCTCTGGTACTTCAGTTTCTCAGAGGGCCTCTGAGACATGGGACTCAGAAGTATGCAAATATACATGAGCATCTTTGCCAGCCCCCTCTCCCCGCTGACACCAGACTACTGGGTACAAAGCCCTTCCAAACCTCCAATCTGGCAGCAGCTCTGAGAGGCAGGCGGGTGAGGTTTACTGAAGATGAATGAAAACACTAAGTCTCAGAGCAGGGCAGTAATTTCCTCAAGATCACACAGCACAACAGAAAGAGCTTGGTGAAGAGTACACCCTTGGTAGGGCTACCCTGGAAAAAAGTGAGGAAAGGAGAATTTAGGTCATACGAGAGGCAGAGGCAAGCCTATCTCTCTCAGTTCAAGGCCAGCCTAGTCTATATTATGATTTCCAGAATAGTTGAGGATCGATAGAAAGATGCTGTCTCAAAACAACACAAAACAAAAGGACTTAGGTCAAAGCCAAGGACTTAGAACAGCTCCTACACCACAACCACCCATCCTGCCCAGAGCAAGCTTTTGAGGGTGCCTTGGGACCACTCCCAACCTCAAGTTCCTAGCCCTTGCCCTCAGTACCCAGTCGTTTCTGGGGCAATTTCTGCTGTGAGGTTTGGATCTCAACTCCTGTCTCTTCCCTAAACCCCAGAGCCAAGGTGTTCCCTGCTGCCCCACTTCTCACTGGAGGCAAACAAATCACAGAGCCTAAGTCAGAGGACTGTAGTTGGCCCAGTGCCTGCTTCCATTCCAAAACAGGGTATCTCAGATCACCACCCCATCCTACCCTGGTCACTGTTTTCCAACCAGCCCTCTCCTCCCCACAGCCCAGGTACTCCTGTCCAATGCCACCTACCTTGTTGACAGCTGGCAGGTGCCACTGCAGAGAGCAGACCCAGTATGAGCAGGCTGAGGGCCAACATGGCTGCAGGCAGCTGTAAGGCCTTGGTCCACTGCTGGTGTTCGGACTCCTGGAGCTGCTGGAGGTCTGGAGTGTTTTTATGAGATCAGCTGGGGAGCAGTCAGGCCTTGAAGGAGAGGCACCGGATTGGGTTAGGCAGAAAGGGAGGGAGGGCGGGGAGGAAGGGCTGGCTGGCAGGCTGGTGGAGGGAAACTGCCCTTCCTCCCATGGAAATGAGCTGCCAGGCCTGGCTGATGCCCAGCCCAACAAATTGGCATTTAAGGTACCCCGTCAGAAGCCAGGTGAGGAGATGGGCCCGTGAATGAGGGAAGTCCCAGCCTCCTCCAAGACCCAGACTACCTCAGAAGTCTCCCTCTGAGCTCACCTTTCCTGGCAATGGGGCTGGGCTCCCAGGGAAAGGTGTGACACATTTTCAGTCCTGCCTTGAAAGGGCTCAGTGGGTGGGGCTTCTTGGAGGACTGACAAAGAGATTAAGACACTTGGTGGCTGGCTCAAGGAGCCAGAGGAAAAGGTCTGTGGCCAAAAAAAAAAAAAAACTCAGGGAAGGCTCACCTGGCTGCTTTCCCCAGAGCTGTCCTATATTCTGCTCTCCCCTCACCCGTTTCTGCCCCCACCAAGCCAGACCCTGGGTCCCCACCCCTGAGACACAGCCTCACTTCACAGTCCCCAACCCTGACCAATCCAGTGGTCCCCTACACCTTTCTCATAGCCCAGTTCCACATTTCTGGTCCCTGGTAAGCTGGCAGGCCTCAGACAACATTTGACTTGGTGGGAAGCCTCAATGCCTGCCTTCAGATCTACCTCTATTCATCAGAGGAGGTTGAGCAGAGCAAAGGAAGGATGATTCCAACGGCCAGGGCCCAATCTATAGCCAGGAGTAGCTATGAAATAGTTCTTCTGTCCCCAGACACCACAGAGTCAGGCCCCACAGAAGCCCACATCCCACTCCACAGGACACATCATATCCACCTGACCTTCCAGACACTAAGAAGACCCAAGTGCCTACTAAAGTCTGGGGCTGAAGGTCATTGTGGGCCTCCTTGCCCCAGTCACTCCAGAATATAGGAGGTGGGATGTTAGAGCAGGCTAGACCCCTTTCCTAAGGAAAGGAAGGGAAAGGATTCTCTGGCAGTCTCTTGTTGCTTGTATGGGTTGCTAAAAGGACGTTGTAAACAGCCCTTCCCAGTGGACACTCAGGTAGCAGACCTCATGCTCTCTTGGCTCCAGGCAGGTAGTCAGGAAACTTTGGAAAGCCCAGGGCACGGTCATCATGTCCTTCTGTCCCTGAGTACAGAACAAACATGGAGCCTGTGATCCAGGTCCCACACAAAGCTAAGTTCCAGAAGAGCCAATATCAACCCAGCTTGATCGGGTTTAGAAAGGATGAGTTTGGAAATAAGGTGGCTAAGAGTGGATGGCTGTGGCATTAAACACTGACGGTGGCACTGTGGATGATACGGGCCTGCCCGTGTGAGGGCTTCCCCAGGACTGCTTGTCCTGAGTCACATTTGCCACATGCCCTAGTTCCTGTCGAAATCAAAGGAAAGGACAGAAAGAAGAGGAAATGCTGGCAGAGCCAGAGAGGTCCAGAGATGACCAAACTGCTGTTCCGAGCCAGGGTGAGAGCCCTGAGCCTGCTTCCTGTGTGTGTGCACATGCGTGTGCCTGCTTTCATGCATGTGCAGTGGGTCTGTGATACTCCAAGGAGCTGTCGGGAAACTCTTCAGGGGGCTGAGTGATACCACCCACACACGTGTAACCCGTTCTTAACATGGGCAGAGAATCTTCAGGAGCACTGAGGAGCAGGCATGAAAGGGCGTTAATGAACAGCCAGGGAATGGCCACCGGTTGGAATGAAAGGAATGGGGCGGAATTTAACAAATAGCCACCCTGTCTCCCTCATTGGTTTTAAGCAGGGGGCAGGGGACCAAGGTCAAATCCTCATTTGAGAAAATGAAATGGTCATCAGAGATGGGAGAGGCCGACTTGGGAATTCGAGTCCTGCAGCCACTGATGGGCTGCATTAGAGGAGGCTTTGAGCAGTGCTTGGGAGGTAGAAAAACCAGGCTGTGGTTTCTGGGCACATGACTAGCTGGAGAGGATGAGGAGTGGGTGACTCTCAGGTTAAGTTTCTGACTCGGGCAACTGCGTGGGTGTGACACATGGCTTCCCCAGGAGAGAGAGAGAGAGAGAGAGAGAGAGAGAGAGAGAGAGAGAGAGAGAGAGAGAGTTTGAACTGAGGGATCAAACACAGGCCCAACATACAAGTATTTCAAAGAAAGAGGAGGAAGGATGAAGCAGAAAAATGAAATCCCAGAATAGTGGGATATTCCAGCAGCCAAGGGTGGGGAGATCCAAAGAGAGGGGTGCAGAGAAGCTCCGGTGGTGATACCCACTCACTAGCTCATGCCCTTAGGGAACACCCCAACCTTTGCCACCAGCAAGGGAGACCCAGTCTCTTTCCCCAAGCACCCCCAACTTCCCTAAAACCCCAGCAGGAAGCAGAGACTCCAAGAACTATACTTTGGGCACAGTAAGGGAGGATGAGTAGGAAGGACACCAGGTGACCAAGGGGAGGAAACAGCTCCCAGGTCAAAGTTCCAGGCTTTAAAGCAAAAACAAGTTGTTCCGGAAAGTGGGGTGGGAGGGAGAGGGGGGGCGTGTGGAGGGGGGTGTATGGGTGGATACTTGGCTTTTAAGCTAGGCCCCTGATTGCTGGAAGTTCTCACTCAGGGAAAGGCTTGTCTCCCCAGCCTTATGAACAACATCCCTGTCCCCAAGGTAACAAAGGGGTCCCTGGTTGTCTGGCTCACTTACAGCTCATCCTGGGGTTCTCACCTCAGACAGCTGTTCCATCCTGCACTCAGGTCCTCCCTCCTGTTTCTTGCCCAGCTCTCATCTGTAATCATCTGGCCCCTAGACAAACCTTCCAGCAGACTGGAACTGGTGTGCTGATCCTCAAGAGTGCCTAGTTTCCCACATCCCTCCCTCCTTCCCTCCCTCCAACATCTTGCCTGCCATTCTACCTAGTGCCAGGAGGTGGCACTGTGTGGCTCCAATCCCAGGCTGGGATGCAGGCCACAATTCACAACTGAAGATTTAAGAGCCTCTCTCTGTCTCTCTGTCTCTCTGTCTCTCTCTGTCTCTCTCTGTCTCCCCCCCCCCCCCCGCCTGACTCCCACCCTGTTTTCAGGGTGGGTTACAGGAAGGGGAAATTAACAGTGGCATATAACCAGTCAGTGGTGATGGCAGAGTGGCCTGTGTTGTCCCCAGAGCTCTGATGTAAAAGAAGATGATTGAGTCATTAAGGGAGGCTTCCTGCTGGTGATGCTGGGTGTGTGTGTGTGTGGCGGGGTTATTCAGGTGGTAGTCAGATAGCACAAAAGATATGATGGGGAAGGTCACGCACACAGAGAGCTCAGACTGAGAAAAAGCCAAGCGACACATTCAAAAAGGGTGTTTAATTTCTTTCAATTTTGTTGTTTTCCCCCCTGTAGTACTAAGAATCGAATCTAAGGCCTAGCTCATGCTAAGCAAGCACTCTACCACTGAGCTACATCCCCAGCCCTCAAGGTGGATGTCCAGCATACAAAGGAAAAGTCCTCTCCACACATTCTTGTAATATCCTCCCTGTTAGTCTTTGCTCTAAGCCTGAAAATTCCTGGGGACTGTCTCATTTGGGCTACTCCTGATGCATGAAATAATGTTCAAACTTTTGCCCAGGTGCCTGAGGGGCAGGACAGTCAGCCCTCCTCTTCAGCCTCGCCTGGCTCAGGGTCTCCTGTCCCCTGACCTGATCCACACAGGACATAGCCCTCTGCCTGGAGTGCTCTCTTCAAGTCACTCCTAGCAAAGTGGCCTTCCAAGTCTTGCCTTAAAGGTCACTTTCTCCAGGGAGACTTCTTTGATGTCCCTTCACCTCACTTTCCTGCGTTCACAGCTATTCTCACAAACTGCAACGCCATATGATTGATGTTTGTGCATTTCATTTAGTAGCTATAACCTCTAAGGACAGCTTGCTCTCTCTCTCTCTCTCTCCCTCTCTCTCTCTCTCTCTCTCTCTCTCTCTCTCTCTCTCTCTCTCACACACACACACACACACACACACACACACACACACTGTTGTTTTTATTTAAAGATTTATTTATTATGTATACAGTGTTCTGCCTGCATGTGTGCCTGTACTCCAGAAGAGGGCACTAGATCTTATTCTAGATGGTTGTGAGCCAACATGTTGTTGCAGGAATTGAACTTAGGAATTCTGGAAGAGCAGCCAGTGCTCCCAACCTCTGAGCCATCTCTCCAGCCCTTTGTGGTTGTTGTTGTTGTTGTTGTTTGTTTGTTTTTGTTTTACCTCCAGCACACATTATTGAGTACAATGCCTACACACACAGTTTTGTTTTGTTTTGTTTTCAGATACAGGGTTTCTCTGTGTAGCTTTGGAGCCTGTCCTGGAACTCGCTCTGGAGACCAGGCTGGCCTCAAACTCACAGAGATCCTCCTGCCTCTGCCTCCCGAGTGCTGGGATTAAAAGTGTGTGCCACCACCGCCTGGCTATATTTTATAAAGTTAAATCTCAGGATATACATTGCCTGGCCTGACAGAGGGTAGGAAGTCAGAGAGTGAGTGGATGGATAAAGTGACTAGCTCCAGGTAGGCCCTTTGTCTTTCTCTACTGCTAGCTCAGGGACAGGCACTGACTGGGTCCCCAGAATCTCTATAGATAAGTGAGAGCCCTTGGAGCTGTCCAGCCCTAGGGGAGACTGTTCCAGAGAGGGAACCAAACTATCCCTATAGGAGTACCAAGGAAGGCAAAAGACCATATCAGCCATGGTCACCCATGAAGGTATCTACAGAGGGCTCTAGGCTCACATAATTTCACTAACTCAGCTGCCTCCAGGGCAGGAGATCCATCATCTGTTTTTCATGAACCTGTAAATGAAATTTGCAAATTTCTTCCATTCAGAATTAAGACTGCAAACTATGGTCCTCTGATGCTTTCCTATCACCCCACAGCTGCTGTGGATATTTGATGTATTATTCTTGTTTATCAGTAGGTAACCATAGTAGTCACTGAGGCTTCCACAAATCCAGTCTGGCACATTA